ACCATAAAGAAATCATTTTAGTCTAAATTTGATTTTTTAAAAATCCAAGACTACATCATTTTGGTATAACTTGTCATGTCATAGTACCGTTCATTATTTAATGACAGAGTGACAAAAAATTCAATGTATAAAATTCAGTGATTAAGTGAAATAAGAGAAAGTAAAGTTCAATAAGTAAATTTTTAATTTATCCTAAAACTTAATCTATATTGATATTTATATTTTAAATTAACATATGACATTTTACACTAATATTTTAACTTTTTATTTAATTATAATTAAACCAACAATTCAACCAATTAAATTAATAACTTTATCGACTTTATCTTATCTTACTTAACTCAAAGCTCCCCACCAAAAGATAATTTTAATTAGGAATGAACATGAGTCGGATTTTCGGTCAACCAAATCCGACCCAAAAAATATATATATCCTCCATCCAAAACTCGATTTAACCTGAGTACATGGTGATTTCAAATTACACAAAGTTCGATCATCTTTTGAGATAAAATGTGAATCCGATTCAACCCGGAATAAATATATTTATAAAATATATTGATTTTATTCGATAAAATAAATATGTAACTGAAAAAATTATAGAGAATGTATTATTGTAATTATCCTTAAATATATAAGATATAATTACATTATTTTTCAAGTCAAGTCAAGTATTTTTTACCCTAAATATGAATCCGACTTAAATTAAATCTAATTTTTTTAAAAAAAAACTTGACCTAATAAGATTAAATCAAATAAAAATTCATCGAATTTAAATCTCATTTTAAAATTGTCAAGGCAGAAAAACCAAAAAAAAAAAAGTCCAAGTGAATTCTTTTTTGAAGGAAAATATGAAATTAGATGGGATCAAAATTTGATAAAGTTGACTTCACCCTTGGGAAGATCAAATTATTTCTGAGCCATCTGATGATTGGGCCCCCACAAGATGCACGTGCCAACCCATTTTTCTTGGCTGCATATGAGAGCCGGCTACGTTGATGTCACGTTCAATGGAATCTATCTATTCAATTTTCATAAGAAATAAATCTTGTTTAACTATTAAAAACTATAAAATATAAATATATATTTTTAAAAATTAAAATTTATTTTTTATAATTCTATTAGAAATAAGTAATGGGTTTAATGATATAATGATTGTAATAAAAAATAAACTTTAAAATTAATATTATTAAAAATAATTATAGCTTTTGAATATCAACAATAAAATAAAATAAAATAATTATTAGAATTCAAATTAAATTATTAGAACTTAGGAATAGGATGGCAACTTTTTTTCTTGAGAAAATTGATTTCAGATAGATCAAATTTATTAAAGAATAAGATGAAATTGAGTTTGATTTTAGTGTTAAATTTTTTTATTTGAATCGAGATGAATAGTATAACTTTTATTATAATTAAGGATAATTGATATAATATCTCTATAATATTTTTAATTAAGTCCCTATTTTATCAAATAAAAATATTTTTTTATATATTTATAACAAATACAATAGAATTGACTGTAAATTTTTATCTCAAAATCATAATTTAATTTTGAATTAGATAGAAAAAAATTAAACTCAAATTAAATCAAATTCAGATAAATAAAATATATTTTTTATTAAATAAAATATATTTATTAAATCTAATATGACTAATAAAAAAATGATTTAATCAGACTCGTTATGAATCCTACTTAATTTTTTTAATCAAGCTAAGGTGATTACAATGTATCATTAATTCTAAATACCCTCAATCAATTGACAATAAACGCCCAATCACCCTTACAATTGTTGGTGTTTAAACTCATGACTTCTGAGAATAACAACGATTCTCTTAACTACTTAAATATGTTGTTCGTCCTATGAATCCTACTTAATAATATTGAGAGTGGAGACACTAAAATGTAAAAAATGTAAAAATGTAAGTATTTATGAATATATAAATATATTATCTCTCATTATAATTGAACAATAAAATCGAGAAAATTAAATAATTTATCTGAACTAAAGTATATAATTTAATTCGATTTAAGTTTTTCACTTTACGGTTTGATTTTAGTTCGATGTAAATATATTATATAATTTGATTCGATTTTAGTTTCGGTTTTTTATATGAGAACTATTTGTTTCAGATCAAATCGAATTAAAATAATAAAAGAAAATAATTATCCAAAACAAATAATTTTTTATGAATTTAAATTTGTTACTTACACTCGTTTTAAGCTTCAAGTTTATTTTCTTTAGATGTTGAGTTTAAAAAAAATAGTGAACATTGAAAAACCACGTAATCAAATTAAACCTATCCGAACCAAAAACCGTGATTTTTATGTCATTCGATTCTAAATTTTAAAACCCTACAAAATATAAATTAATTCATATTTTATTGAAAAATCAAATCGAACCAAATAAATATAACCCTATCTGTCATGTTTCTGAAAATTTCCAGCAACTAATGTACAAAACCTCATTTTCTTGCCTGAAAAGATTCCCCACATTTCTTTCCGCGCTGTTTTTATTTTATTTGGCATGAAACAGTGAACTGCCCGGCCCTCATCAATACGGTTGTAAATGAGACGAGACAGATAGTAAGCTACTCGAGATCGACTCGATCAAGGCTCGATAAATATTCGGATCGAATGGACTCGACTCGAGCTCGAACTCGACTCGAGTTCTTAACGAGCCGAAACGAGCTACTCGATATTCAACTCGAAAAGTTCGTGAGCAGCTCGAAAAAATGTTATATTATAATTTTAGATTTTTTAAAATTACATTATAAAAAATTTATTAAAAATACATTATTAATAATTATAAAATTTTAAAAATATATCTATAATACAACTACCCTCAATTTTTAATTTTTTTAATTAAGCAACCCAAGTCCAATTGTTACATTGTATATTACTAAAAGAAAAATAAAAGTCCATTTAATTAAACACATGTTAGATTACACCATAAACCCTAAAACTCTAAACTATAAACCCTACACTATAAATCATAAACCCTAAACCATAAATCCAAACCCTAAACCATAAATCCAAACCCTAAGCCATAAATCTGAACCCTTGATCTGATTATGTGATAGAGCACTAAAAGAAAAATAAAATCCCATTTAATTAAGCACATGTTAGATTACACCCTAGATTATAAACTATAAACCCTAAATCCTAAACCTAAACTATAAGCCCTAAACCCTAAACCCTAAACCCTTAACCCAATTATGTGATACTGGTTAAGTTATGCACATGAAGATAACATACAAATTATGCAAAATGAAATTAATGAAATTAACAAGGGTTTATATGTAAATAAACTAATAAATCACAATTGGTCAAATCAATCAATAGGTCCATTATCAAAACAAATGGTGATCAAAACATAAAATAAAAAAAAAATTAACAACCCAAATCATAAGAAGGTAAACATTGCTTAATGACGAAATCAGAAGATTACAAATATAACAGGTTCTAAAATGCTAATACTCCATTTCTAAAACACAGGATTCGGGTCATTTATAAAACATATTTTAAAATTTTGATAATTAAGTATTCTTTTTAAATAATATGATGAGATTAAAAATTAGACTTGGTGACGAGAATAAGATGATTATGTCAGTTGTCGTAGTTCAAATATTTTTATAATATTTTTTTCTTAAAATTGTCTATTTTTAAATAAATACATTTGATTGATTGATCAAATTGTTTATATTTATTTATTTATTTTTATAGATCACGAATTTTAGATTTACATACTTTCATTTTTTTAAGAGTCTTATTCCTCTTCCTTAAGATTAGAATTATAATTCATATATATAAAGAGACCTCAAGAAATATATAGTAAGTAATTAAAATCAAATTAATTTTACACTAAGGTCAAAGGCAAATAGGCCTGAAACTCCGCCAAACGCGATTGTCAGAGTGGACGACCAACCAAAATAAACAAAGGGCTCCTCAAGTCCCATAATACACGTGTATCCAATGCAGACATTAATTGACAATGTTTTTATTTATTGCCTTTCTAAAAAGAATACCGAAAGTGACTTTTTGAACCCTAGTTACGTGTGAACAAAGGGTACCCCGGGGTTTTATTATATTAATACCTATAGTCAGATTTTCACGTGTCGACGGGTCTAAGAGGTTGATCGAGGAGAATCGGCAGATTTAATGGCGGACACGCTTTTCTTTCACGTTGGTAGAAAAAAGAAGAAGCAAAGCACATGCAACAAGACATGATTTTTAATTATTTAATATCTCAAACTTGCTCCTGAAATTTGGCGCCGCCCCATCACACATCTCACACGCCGAGATTCCCCTGTTCTAAAATCCCCCTAGACTTAAGATGCTCTAAAGCGTTGAACTTTGATCATGTGAGTTATATCCCACATCGATGATTTTTGGAGAATAAAGGGTAAAGTCGAATCTATAAAAGGGGATGGGTTTCAACAAATGAAAGTTAAATCTGTTGAGCTTGAATCAAACTTGAATCAAGCTTGAACCGAGCTCGAGTCTCGAGCTTGAATCGAGCTCTTAAAATTTTTTGAGTTTGAGTCTTTTCGAGTTCGAGTCGAGTTTTAATATTTTTTTTCGACTACGAGTCGAGCTTGAAAATTTTAAACTCGTGAGTTTTCGAGTCGAGTCGAGCTTACATATAAAGTTTTCGAGTTCGACTCAAGTTTGACAATACTCGAACTCGACTCGGCTCGTTTACACCCCTACTCATCAACACTGTCCTTTCTACATATAGTAAGCAAACATCGATCTCTATTTAAACTATGAATTTATATTATAATTACAGTAATTAATTACGATGATAAAGAGAATAAAAATAATCATATATATATAATGAAAGTAGCTGGGGAATAAAAATTTATATATAATGAAATTTTTGTCTGGACTTATTATCAAATGATGAAGGGTATAATGGTCTTTTAGTAGGAAATGAATTTAAAATTCTTTTTTAAGGTATTTAAGCATGTGAGGAACTAGAGATAAGGGAAAAGAAAAGTCTAGAGAGTGTCTTCATCTTATCCTTCCTTTCTACCGTGAAAACCATTGCTAAGGTAAGAGATTTTAAAGTTGTTTGTTTCTTGCATTTTTGAGTTGGGTTTTAGTTCTTGGGTGGTATAGAAACTTAAAGATGAATAGAAACTAAGAGATTGGTGAATTAATTATAAATTGGTAAAATGAGTTTTCAAGGGATTTGATTAGATTGATTAATATTTGGATTTTTAAAGGTATATTTTGATTTGTCAATTGTCTATTTAAGGTATTTGAAGTATTAGAAAGGTATATTTTTAAAGGTATATTTTTAAAGGTGTTTTGTCATTTGGCTTATTCCATAGTTGTCTTTCTCATCTAAGCTTAAAGAAGAAGAAAAAATGGAATCTATTGTAAGCAGTGCTTCCAGTACAGTTGCCGAATACACGTTTGGTGTCATCAAACGTGGGATTGGGTACATAATATATGTTGACAGCAATGTCCAGGATCTGAAGGAGCAAGTTGGAAAGCTGGAAGATGCTCGAGAAAGAGTGCAGCATTCTGTCGATCGGGCCATAAGGAATGCAGAGAAGATTGAAGCGGATGTCCATAAATGGTTGGCCAACGTTAATAATAAGTTGACTGAAAACGTTGAGGAGAAATTGAAGGAAGATGAGGAGAAAGCAAAAGAAGAAATGTTTCTTTGCTCTGTGTCCGAATGTCAAGTCTCGCTACCTAGTCAGCAAGAAAGCGGTGGACGAGGCGCATGCTATCAGTGAACTCCTGGAACAAGGGAAATTCGACAAAGTTTCGTATTCTCCTCCTATAGAGGGGATAGTGACCAAAGGTTACAAGGCCTTTGAATCGAGAACAACAACCTTGAAGGGGATTATGGAGGCCTTAAAGGAATCAAGTGTTCGAATTGTTGGAATATACGGGATGGCTGGCGTAGGCAAGACCACGCTTGCCAAAGAAGAAGTTGCTGCCAGAGTAAAGGAGGAGCACTTGTTCGACGAATTTGCAATGACCACTGTCACTCATAATCCAGACATAAGAAAAATTCAAGGAGAAATTGGTGACATGTTAGGCCTGCATTATGAGAAGGAGACTGTTAGCGGAAGAGCAATGGAGCTACGCGAGCGGTTGAAGACCAACAAAAGGATCCTCATAGTTTTGGATGACCTATGGCAGAAACTTGACCTCGAAGAGGTTGGTATCTCGTTTGAGGATCAAGCTGCTAAAGGATCTTCCATCGCAGGATGCAAAATACTGTTGACTTCCAGAAGATTTGACGTGCTTTGCATCATGCGTGCTGAGAAGAGTTTCAAAGTTGAAATTTTATCACAAGAAGAATCGATGATTCTTTTTGCAAAAACAGTGGGTGACATATCTGGTGATTATGAATGCAGAGCGAATGAATTGGTGAAAAAATGTGAAGGGTTGCCTGTCGCTATCTTAGCAATTGCAAATGCTTTGAAAGGTAAGGATCTCACGTCTTGGGATGATGCCTTGCTGCAGCTACGACGGTCAAATCCATCAAACATAGAGGGGATGCAAAAAAATGTATATTCTACCATCGAGTTGAGTTACAAATGGCTGAGAAATGAGGAAGCACAATCTTTGTTCCTGATATGCGGCCTGCATCCTCAGAGTTTTGATATCCCTGTCTTTGATTTGCTGCAATATAGCTTTGGTCTAGATCTTTTGGAAGGCATCTACACGATGGAAGAAGCAAGAAAAAGGATAGATGCACTAGTTCATAAGCTCAAAGATTCTAGCTTACTACTTGAGGGAAAAGGTTACGAATGGGTGAAAATGCATGATCTTATACGCGATGTTTCCATTTCAATTGCATCAAAAAACAAGGGAATGTGGGTCATAAGGGATGCAAATCATCTGAAGGAATTGTTGAAGAAGGGGAATCTCAATGGTTGCACAGCTATCTCGTTGCCACACAGCAACATGGCTGACCTTTCTGATGTGGACTGTTCGAATTTGGAGTTACTCATGTTGCTGAATAAAGATCCATCTTTCAGAGTCTCGGAAACTTTTTTCAAAGATATGTATAAGCTGAAGGTGTTAAGCGTAACTGGTATGAGTTTTCCATATTCTCTGCCTTCATCTTTTCGTTCATTAACGAACCTTCAAACTTTGCGTTTATGTGAATGCGAGTTGTCTGAGATAGCCATCGTAGAGAAGCTGAAGAAATTAGATATGCTCAGCTTTCAAGGTTCCACCATTACGGAATTGCCAATAGAGATTGCACAATTGACCCAACTAAAGTTATTAGATTTGAGTGAATGTTCTAAACTTGAAGTCATCCCAGAAAATGTCCTAGCAAAATTGTATAGATTAGAAGAGCTACGTGCTGGCAATAGCTTTCGTGAATGGAATGTTGGAGGTAATGCTCGACTTGAAGAGTTGAATAACTTATCTTCTTTGTCAGCATTGGATGTATCCATTCCGGATGCCAGAATTATGCCAAAAGAAGACTTGTTCTTGAGAAAGTTGGAAAGATACAAGATTGTTATAGGAGAATTTCATGAGCGTTCCATTTTCATTACTAAGAGTAAAGCTTCAAAAGCGTTGCAACTTGAGTTAGACATTGGCGACGGCTTAGATAAAGGGATGGAAATGTTGATAAAACATGCTGAAGAGTTACGCATAGAGGGATTGAAAGGTGCCAAGGATATGTCTTTTGAGTTATTAGATACGGACGGTTTTCCGCATCTCAAGTATCTTACTATTAGAGAGCAAGGGTCCTCGGAGATTAATTGGATCATTAACTCCATGTCCATGAGATTGGCTCCGCGTAAAGTATTCCCTGCTTTAGAGACAATGGTTCTCTATGGTCTGTGTAATCTGGATAAGATATGCCATGGTAAATTCATCAAAACAGAGTCACTTAGCCACCTAACAACCGTAACAATTCACAGTTGTGATAGACTGAAGAACCTGTTTCCGTTCTCCATAGCCAGAAATTTCAACCAACTGCAACAAATAACTGTAGATGATTGCGAGAACATCACAGAGATTGTTGCAGGGGAACGGAAGGAAGACAATGACGAGAATGACACCCTAGAGTTTTGTTGCTTAAAATCTTTGCAACTGATCAATTTGCCAAATTTCAAAAGCTTTTATCCCCAGGTGACAACAGCTTCCTCTTCATCCAACCATAATAATACAGAATCTAAACCCATTCCGCTCTTCAACCCAAAGGTATTCATTATACTCATAATTTCTGGGTTTTTTACAATTTACATGAGAATCGTGGCTTTGGTTTTAAATGTTTGCCTTAACATTGGCTTCAGATATATTGGTTGGAAAGAATGAGTTGCACACAACTGAGCTGAACAATTTATGTACTTAATTTGTTGCTGCCAAAAATATTTAAATAACGTAAAAGAATCTTGGATATTTCAATGATAGCAAAAACTAGTACTTAATATTTTAATTAAAGAAAAATTGATATAAATAATTATCGCTTTCAGTGATAATACAGAAATAAATATATTTTCATTTGCAGGTTTCATGTCCTGCCTTGGAGACGTTGAAAGTGGAGGGGTGCCATAAGTTGAAGAGTGTGTTTACTTCATCTATTGTTAAAAGCTTTGTTCAACTCGAAGATCTTGTAGTTTCTGATTGCGATGAAATGGAAGAGGTGATACAAGGAATATTAGGAGGAGAAGAAAGGATTAGTAGCTGCATAAGTCTGTTTCCTAAACTCGACTCCTTGGATCTCGTCGACCTTCCCAAACTCAGAAGGTTTTGTAGTGGAACTGATATTTCGATTGAATTTACCTCTCTAAGGTATTTACGTATAAGGGGATGTCGTGGTTTGAGCACTTTTCATTTGAATAGTACAAATGTTGTTGGAAAGAGCAGCGGTAACATCTCACTTGATCAGCCACAACATCTCTTCGATGAAAAGGTATGTATTAATATCCAATCTTAGTTAAATCTCATCTATCTAATTATGGTGATAAGTATTTATTATAAATATTATTATTTTTGAAAATTTAAAACGATTAATATGACAATTTAATCTTTCAAATTTAAATTTTATTTTTAGTGAGAGTCTAAGAAAAAAATGTAAAAAAGAACTATAACTTTTAATAGATGTTGAGTTTTTTAAAGTGATAATTTGAATGAGCGAACAACAATTTACAATTATAAATGATTAATAATTTAGAAATAAAATTATAGCAAATGAATATATAATAAAATAATTTTACATTAGTGGATACAACGACTATTAAACATTAAATTTTAAAATAGTTGTTTAAATTGTTGCAATAGTATATTATTTAAGATGGTAACTCATAATTAAGGTGCAATAGTATATTTAAGATGGTAACATTTAGAAGATTCTTGTTATACAAATTTTCTTTGTTATTAAATAATTAATCTTATAAATAGTCAATACAATTTAGTGTTTTGGATGTGTGGGTTAGAGTGTGCAAATAATAAACATCCAAACATTGAATGTTTTGTAGCAAGTTATTGTAATTGTTAATTCACAATCTTATCAACATGTATGTTTCATAATTCTAAATTAAAACCTTCAGATATATTGTGGCTTTGGTTTTAAATGTTTGCCTTAGCATTGGCTTCAGATATATTGGTTGGAAAGAATGAGTAGCACACGATTGAGCTGAACAATTTATGTACTTAATTTGTTGCTGTCAAAAATATTTAAATAACGTAAAAGAATTTTGTATATTTCAATGATAGCAAAAACTAGTACTTAATATTTTAATTAAAGAAAAAATTGATATAAATAATTATCGATTTCAGTGATAGTACAGAAATAAATATATTTTTCTTTGCAGGTTTCATGTCCTGCCTTGGAGACGATGAGAGTGAAGGAATGCCATAAGTTGAAGTATGTATTTATTTCATCTATGGTTAAAAGCTTTGTTCAACTCAAAACACTTGAAGTTTTTTATTGTGATGAACTGGAAGAGGTGATACAAGGAATATTAGGAGAAGAAGAAAGGATTAGCAGCTGCATAAGTCTGTTTCCTAAGCTCGACTCCTTGGAGCTCAAATATCTTCCCAAACTCGGAAGGTTTTGCAGTGGAACTGATATTTCGATTGAATTTACCTCTCTAAGGTATTTATATATATGGAGATGTCATGGTTTGAGCACTTTTCATTTGAATAGTACAAATGTTGTTGGAAAGAGCAGCAGTAACATCTCACTTGATCAGTCACAACATCTCTTCCATGAAAAGGTATGTATTAATATCCAATCTTAGTTAAATCTCATCTATCTAATTATGGTGATCAGTATTTATTATCAATATGAAAATTTAAAACGATCAATATGATAATTTAATCTTTCAAATTTAAATTTTATTTTTGGTGAGAATCTAAGAAAAAAAGGTAAAAAAGAAGTATGACTTTTAATAGATGTTCAATTTTTTAAAGTGATAATTTGAATGAGACAATTTAAAAACTCAAAAGTGAGCGAACAACAATTTACAATCATAAATGATTAATAATTTATGAATAAAATTATAGCATATGAATATATAATAAAATAATTTTACATTAGTGGATATAATAAAATAGTTGTTTAAATTGTTGCAATTTAATATGGTAACTCATAATTAAGTTGCAATAGTATATTTAAGATGGTAACATTTAGAAGATTCTTGTTATACAATTTTTCTTTGTTATTAAATAATTAATCTTATAAATAGTCAATACAATTTAGTGTTTTGTATGTGTGGGTTAGAGTGTGCAAATAATAAACATCCAAACATTGAATGTTTTGTAGCAAGTTATTGTAATTATTACTTACATTTTAATTCACAATCTTATCAACGTGTATGTTTAATAATTCTAAATTAAAACCTTCAGATATATTGTGGCTTTGGTTTTAAATGTTTGCCTTAACATTGGCTTCAGATATATTGGTTGGAAAGAATGAGTAGCACACGATTGAGCTGAACAATTTATGTACTTAATTTGTTGCTGCCAAAAATATTTAAATAACGTAAAAGAATCTTGGATATTTCAATGATAGTAAAAACTAATACATATTTTAATTAAAGAAAATTGATATAAATAATTATCGTTTTCAGTGATAATATAGAAATAAATATATTTTTCATTTGCAGGTTTCATGTCCTGCCTTAGAGACGTTGAGAGTGGAGAAATGCCATAAGTTGAAGTGTGTGTTTAGTTCATCTACGGTTAAAAGCTTTGTTCAACTCAAAGAACTTGATGTTACTTATTGTGATGAACTACAAGAGGTAATACAAGGAGTATTAGGAGAAGAAAGGATTAGCAGCTTCATAAGTCTGTTTCCTAAGCTCATCTACTTGCGGCTCGTTCAACTTCCCAAACTCAGAATGTTTTGCAGTGGAACTGATATTTCGATTGAATTTACCTCGCTAAGGTATTTATATATATGGAGTTGTCGTGGTTTGAGCACTTTCCATTTGAATAGTACAAATATTGTTGGAAAGAGTAGCGGTAACATCTCACTTGATCAGCCACAACATCTCTTTAATGAAAAGGTATGTATTAAAATCCAATCTTGGATATTTAAATAACGTAAAAGAATCTTGGATATTTCAATGATAGTAAAAAATAGTACTTAATATTTTAATTAAAAAAATTGATATAAATAAGTATCGTTTTCAGTGATAATACAGAAATAAATATATTTTTCATTTGCAGGTTTTATGTCCTGCCTTGGAGATTTTGAAAGTGTTGGAATTGCATAAGTTGAAGTATGTATTTATTTCATCTACGGTTAAAAGCTTTGTTCAACTCAAAGAACTTGAAGTTTCTTTTTGTGATGAACTGGAAGAGGTAATACAAGGAGTATTAGGAGAAGAAAGGATTAGCAGCTTCATAAGTCTGTTTCCTAAACTCGGCTCCTTAGGTCTCAATAAACTTCCCAAGCTCAAAAGGTTTTGCAGTGGAACTGATATTTCGATTGAATTTACCTCTCTAAGGTATTTACGTATATGGGACTGTAGTGGTTTGAGCACTTTCCATTTGAATAGTACAGATGTTGTTGGAAAGAGCAGTGGTAACATCTCACTTGATCAGCCACAACATCTCTTCCATGAAAAGGTATGTATTAATATCCAATCTTAGTTAAATCTCTTCTATCTAATTATGGTGATCGGTATTTATTATAAATATTATTATTTTTGAAAATTTAAAACGACTAATATGATAATTAAGGAAAAATTGATATAAATAATTATCGATTTCAGTGATCATACAGAAATAAATTTATTTTTCATTTGCAGGTTTCATGTCCTGCCTTGGAGACGTTGAGAGTGATGGGATGCCATAAGTTGAAGTGTGTGTTTAGTTCATCTATGGTTAAAAGCTTTGTTCAACTCAAAGAACTTGTAGTTTCTGATTGTGTTGAAATGGAAGAGGCAATACAAGGAGTATTAGGAGAAGAAGAAAGGATTAGCAGCTGCATAAGTCTGTTTCCTAAACTTGATTCCTTGAACCTCGACAAACTTCCCAAACTCAGAAGGTTTTGCAGTGGAACTGATATTTCGATTGAATTTACCTCTCTAAAAAAATTAGATATACGACAATGTCGTGGTTTGGACATTTTTCATTGGAATAGTACAAATGTTGCTGGAAAGAGCAGCGGTAACATCTCACTTGATCAGCCACAACATCTCTTCCATGAAAAGGTATGTATTAATATCCAATCTTAGTTAAATCTCATCTATCTAATTATGGTGATCAATATTTATTATAAATATTATTATTTTTGAAAATTTAAAACGATTAATATGATAATTTAATCTTGGGTGTTTACATGAAAGCAAAAATTAGTACTTGAATATTTAATCAAATAAGAATATTAATTAAAAGTTGCTATAAATAATTATTGGTTTCAGTGATAATACAACATAAAAATATTTCAGAAATAAGATTTGAATCAGAATCTCAATTCCAAGACGGCAAACAGTGATGTATGAAGACTCATTCTTGACTCTTGGTTTAATTTATTTTTCCCTATCTAATCTTAATTTAATTTTTATTGGCAGATTTCATGTCCTGTCTTGGAGGAGTTGTTCTTGTGGAATTGTGATAAGTTGAAGTGTGTGTTTACTTCATCTACAGTTAAAAGCTTTGTCCAGCTCAAAACACTTGAAATTTATCGATGTGATGAAATGGAAGAGGTAATACAAGGTGGGGATGATGACGACGACGACGAAATCAGTTTCCCCCAACTCAACATTTTGGAACTTAAACATCTACCAAAACTGGAGAGTTTCTGCTCATCAGAGAATTATAACTTTGGGTTTCCATCCTTACAAACTGTACTTGTGTATGAATGCCCAGAGATGAAGACGTTCTCTCGAGGACACTCAAACACCCCAATGTTACATAAAGTTACACTAAATTTGTCGCTAGATGAAGGGCCTTGGGAAGGCAACCTTAATCACACCATACAACAGCTCTTCCGAGAAAAGGTAAATTTATATTTTCCAAATATCCTTATCAATAATTGGTTCTTCATTTCACTCTAAACTCTGTTGTGAAAGCAAAACCAAAGAATTACAATGAGAAGAACGACTTCTAAGGTTCTATTTAATGGATATAAAAGAATAATGATGATAGAAATATATTTGTTTATATTGGAAGATGCTATGATATATTATTTGATAAATTATATTTACTTCTTCTCACTTATTAATCATTACAGATGGCTTTCGAGTAATGAATCAGTGTTTGAAGGTGAATCGATGGAGTGTTAAAAGGTGATCCCTTCACTAGATTAAAGCTTATGACGATGGGATTGTTTTATAGTAGCCAGTGTGTGGTAAAACTAGAGATTTTCTTTTCTTGTCAGATGTCAGGTTAAACAATCTATTTCAGGTCTGCTTTGTTTTCGTGTGCTGATCCTGGTGTAATGGATACAAAATATTGCTAAGTTCAAGCAATGAAGATGGCCATGGAGGGTTTCTTACAACCGGAATGAAACAATCAAGTTTGCTTGATTATTGTATTCAATTTGGTTATGACAATCATGTAGTGTTTGAAATATTGTTGGTGTAAATATCATTTGAAATACATACTAGACCAATAATTTTAAGGGTAAACTACTACTTAAATTATCAGTTTTAGTACACAAACTTTCGTTTTCTTTTAAAATTATGCATAACATTTAGTTTTTGTTTCATTTTAATATCCATCCGTTAAAAATTGCCGTGCTTAAGGGCTAAAATACCCTTTCTCATATTCTTCTCCCAGTTAGCTTGTTGTTGTGAAGGAAAACAATCATCTTCTTCGAATTGGCGACAAAAGCTCACAGAGTTCAATTCCTCTTCTGACTTCAAAAACCACATTATTCGTTATCTGCTTTATTTCTTTCCATGTATATCTCTTTGTTCTTATCTGATGCCCTTTTTAAAGGTTGAAACTTTTTGGCATTAGCCCTCACAATCTTTGAGGACTCGCAGCAAACAATGGCCAGTTGGGTTTTGTCAGAATACGGCTTAAGACCCTTCCCTATAATCATATTCTATTCAAAACCCCTACCTTCAATTCCTTCAAACACCAACAACAATGGCCTAAAGGTCAGAACTTTACCTGGTTCTTCTCCATTCAAGGTCTCCACTTGGTGTAGAAAGAGGAGCTTTGTGGGTTCTTTGAATGTGAGTGCTCATTTGAAGGTTGTTGAGACCATTAATGGGGTTGAAGAAGAAGAAGATGATGGTGGATTTGATCTTGTTGTGCCGCCTCTTTTCAACCTGGCCGACATTGATGTTTTTGATTTTTTCCTTCAATTTGGACATTGATTTATGTGTTTTTGGTTTTGTTGTTTTTTCCTCTTTTCAATGGACATAGTAGTTTCTCCAACAACATGGCATTAAACAGTGTTACTGGTCATCCTCTTCATTCTTCTTGTCCCATACCATGGATGGTTAGTCATTAGTGCTTTGAATACTCTTAATCTGGTCCCATATGAATGAATCTGATGATAATTTTGACTATATTTATGTGTTTACTACCATGTCTAGAGAACTGGTCCCATATGAATGAATCTGATGACAATTTTGACTATATTTATGTGTTTACTACCATGTCTATATTTAGCTGAATTGGCATTTTGACAACTTATTTGATGGATTTGTTGTGGGATAAGAACAATTAACTTCAAATGATTGAATATTTCAAATTTAGAGAAGCAATAGCTGTAGTAATATAGAACAGAAAAAGTAGAACCTGCTTGTGATGCAAACTATTTTATATCATAGAAATGGTTGTTTCGGGGCAATATAATTTTAATTGGGTGATCTTTGGGTCTCTTTGAGATTGTACATAGATGTGGCTATGTGATATTTCTCCATGTATTAAGTTTAAGCTTTTGTAAGTTCCAATCATTGATAACTTGCATTAAATCCAATCAGATGTTTATTTTGAGTTCTTAATGCAGATTTCTAATTGGATTGAATTATTAAATTGAAAGCTTCAGATCGTATTGATTTTAATGTTAAACAAGATTTACAGACAGATGTAACGTGAGGATGTTTTAGAGTTTCTTATTTACATTTATGCAATTGCCTTTTACTTTGACAAAAAATTGGGATGGTCAAGCTATTTCGGATTCATTGTAAATTAGAATTTCACTGCAATAACATTGTTGTTCAGTTATAGGCTCATACCCATTTAGGTGTATTGTGGTTTGTTTTTGAATATGTTTCTACATAAATAAATATGTTGACTAGGGATATTTGTGGTTTGCATTAAGAGAGACATATTGATAGTTGATTGATCACAGGTGAACAGTGTGAAGATCATCCCAGAGTTTCCCAGAACTGCATCTAACAAATTGCTTAGGAGAGTCTTGAGGGACTAAATACAACATGAACTGTCTGTCAAAAGCAGGATGTGAAGGCTGGTAACTTCAGCAATGCTTCAAGAATCATACATATTATACCCACCGGAATGCTGAAAATTGGATTTTATCTGCGAAAATTGAACTCAACATTTTATCAAATAATAGTGAACTGATCGGCGGTTTTCGGAAATACCGGTTCCGAACGGAACTAGCTGTGTGATTCAATTTCTTATTGCCCCTAAATTGTTATCCTGAACTCTAAAAAATAAAATCCTATTTAGACTACTTTAGATTTCTAAACTTTTAATATTTTCAGAATATTATCGATCATAATTTGTATGTTATTGAATTAGATTCATGTGTTTTGTTCACTCTAAATTAAATCGAAAATTAGTGGTCCAAAAGGTAACATATAATCTGAAATAGAACAAAAAAATTGGACAAAAAATGTTTGAATTGGTTTTAATGGCTAAATGGTCAACATTGACATAATCTTTCAAACGGTTGAATAATATTGTCATCGTATGTCACACTCTACCCCATAATTTTTCACTAGGAAAAAAATATATCTAATAGCACTATAGATAAAATAATAAGCACTATAAATAAAATAATAAACACTATAAATATTATAATAGCACTAAAAATAAAAAAAATATTTAGTGGTAGACAATGGCCTATCCACCATCACATGTGGTATATTTTTTATTCAAAACATTAGATGGTGGTTTAGTTTTATATTAGGATATAACCATTAATTCTGCAATAATACCCTCCCCGTGCAGTGAACCAAAACTGAAAATTTTTCATTAAGCTCGCCCTTGACACATTTAGGCCTGCCTCCTTCGATCGGTGGGTGGAGTATCGTCGTGTCCTTCAGTCTCAACAGCGACCATCGGTCCAACCCCGACTAGCCCAGTTCCAAAATCTGTCACAGATAGACTGAATCGAGAAGGGAAATCGACACTTAAAACCCCGATCGTCGTTTTAAGTTTTGTCGATTCCGGCCATTCCAACAACTGTCTTGTTTCGTCCATCCGCCGTAGGTAAAGTCAGATCGTTTAATTTGGATAATATTTCAGTGTTTAGATTGAAAACATATTATAATGGGTGTTGGTTTAGATTTTTGATAAATAGTTTTAAAAAGGTGCTATTTTTGTAATTAATTTTAAAAATGTGCTATTTTTGTAATTAATTTTAAAAGAGTGCTATTTTTTGTAATTATTGTTAAAATGGTGATATTTTGGTAATTATTGTTAAAACGGTGATATTTTGGTAATTATTGTTAAAACGGTGATATTTTGGTAATTATTGTTAAAACGGTGATATTTTGGTAATTATTGTTAAAACGGTGATATTTTGGTAATTATTGTTAAAACGGTGATATTTTGGTAATTCTTGTTAAAACGGTGATATTTTGGTAATTATTTTTAAAACAATGATATTTTGAGAATTATTTCGAAAAAGTGATATTTTGGGAATTATTTCAAAAAATGTGATATTTTGGAAATTATTTCAAAAAAGTGATAGTTTGGGAATTATTTCGAAAAAGTGTAATTTTCGTATTAGTTGACTGTGGACTTTTGAGAACTTTTGACCAAAACTTTGACCGGCTTTAACCGGCTAGTAAACGACCGTTGACTTTTTCCGGGTATACCTATTTTGACATTTTTCGACGTCCCGAATTCGTTTCCGAAGTCCGTTTTGCCAAATTTGAACCCGAAGGCCTCCAAATCGTCATTCAAAGTGGTTGACTTTGACTTTGACCAAGAATTCGAATTTTTGAAAGGTCATATTTTATGTTTTTCGACGTCCTGATTCCGATTCCATAATCGGTTT